TTGGTTTGTCTACAGTGCTCACCTAGATAAACCTAGGATGCATAGATTTATAGGGCTTGGCGTTCCAGAAAGTGTTGCATTAGCTGTGTAATTTTGGGCATATAAAAGAGATATTCCATGACCTAAATAGTCCCTTTTGTGTAAGTGATGCCCTATTTGCAATGTATGCGTTTTATGATAATCTCGGTCTGCAAGGGCCTAATGCAGCAGGAAGATCCTAGGGAGTGGTGGAGGCAGTCCTAGGTTTCTCCCTTCTCCACGTGTCCTGCATTTACCTGCATCCTTGACATTAGCAAAGCTGGAGAAGGTTAAGATTTCTGACTCTCGTGAGTCTGATTTGATGACCTGACCCTTTGTATTATGTCAACTCTCTAAGTGATTTCAATGGTTCAATCCTTGGCTCTTTCAGTTCAGTCTCAACCACAACAGCCAGAGTTAAGTCCTGCAGAATGTAAACTATCAATAGATCATGTGATTCCTCTGATCCAATGGCTTTCTAGTCACTCGGAGTAAAACCCAAAACCTACAATGACCTCAAGGCAACACATCATCGGATTTCTCCATTTCTTTGCTCTCCCTCCAACTCACCAGACACCGTCCTACCTCAGTATCTTTGCACGGACTGCCCCCTGGCCTGATATCCACAGCAGCCGGCTGCCTGCTCTCTTCCAGATCTTTCCCTCCTCAGTGAGCCCTTCCCTGACTGCTCTGGTTGCAGGGCCCTTCCAACACCGCGCACCAAAGCCCCTTCTTTAGCCTGGCCTGTCCTCCATGACGCTTATCACCTTCTCAGACATCATCATTAGTATTTATTTATTCTTTCATTCGTGGCTCTCCTCAGAAATGTAAGCTCTGAGAACAGAGGCACTTTACCTACTTTGTTCACTACTGTATCCATAGTGCTTCAGCACCTGGCAAAGCAGGCCCTCAAAATACCTGTGAAACGGATGAAATTTCCCTCCGGGCGTTCCTTTGGCCACAACTGTGTGTCCAGTTAGCACTTTAGAAGAAACCAGTCCTAAATCTTCCGTCATCTAGTTTTATTTCCTATGCCATGAATCATTTGCACGTGTTTAAAAATTCTTCAATGTGGCCTTTGTGGGCTTTTTATAGTTTTTAATTCTATTAGGATCAGCAAACAATGCCTTATTTCATGCAATCTGTTGAGTTTTCCTTTATGGCCAAGTTCATGGTCAATTTGTAAAATGTTTCAAGTATATCTGAAACCAATATGGGTACCTAGTTTGTTGGATGCAGCATGTACATCATCTACTTTGCTAACTGCAAAGGCCAAATTCTCCGAGTTTTTTATCTGATAGTTTATGACTAGATTAGTATCCCAGCGTTACGGTGTCTGGAATTCAGTCTAGAATACTTCAGATACACAGGTGTGTTACAGAGTAAGGAACCCTCGGGGTGCAGTTAGCATTATAATGAAGAAAACCTTAATGCAGACAGCTACCCCAAGCTCTTCTATTAATAGATTTCATCACTGATAAACATTATGTTACTGACAATAATGTGTCCAATAGTAGATTCTTAGAAAAACTGAGGTTAGAAAGGGGCTCTTACTGAATACCTAGCGCTATTAAGATATGATGGAGTTTGAACAGATTAACTCAGAGGTACTCTTCACTGTAGCATAAACAAGGTCAAAGACTTTTTCTAGCAAGACCCTTGGGGTAGCGCCTGAGGCATAAAATAGCACTGTGTCCAGCCAACGGGTTGGAGGGTAGCTCACAATGCTGCTAGGAGAAACAAAACCCTGCTCCTGGAGTACTCACAACCACCTTGAATAAACTGACGCAAGATGCTAAACTTTTTATGCAAGATGTAGCTGGCCCAGCTAGAGAGACAGAGCTGGAACTTCGTTAAGCTTACATGACAGGCTGTTAAGATGTTTTATGCCTGACTGCTAGTAAACTATTAAATACCTGCATGTGCTGCAGAATCTGGCCTGGGATCTAGTTTCACCATCACTTGCTGGCACACTGTGAGGCAACAGCTGATCAATACTCACCTGAACTTGAGATCTAACAACCTAACAGAAATAACCCGGATGTTGTGCATAAATCAGATGGCTCGGGTCAGGTTCTGGGGCCACTACAGACACTCCTCAGTCTGTCTTTAGGGACCTATCAGTTTTAGGGTCACGCATGGACAGACAACAAAACAGACAAAACTTTTTTTTATTGGAGTATAGCTGCTTTACAATGTTGTATTAGTTTCTGCTGTACAAGGAAGTGAATCAGCTGTATGTATACATATATCCCCTCCCTCTTGGACCTCCCTACCATCCTGCCCATCTAGGTCATCACAGAGCACCAAGCTGAGCTCTCTGTTCTATACCGCATGTTCCCACTAGCTATCTGTTTTACACATGGTAGTGTATTTATGTCAAATCTAATCTCCCAATTCATCCCACCCTCCCCTTTCCCCGTGTGTGTCCACACTTCCGTTCTCTACATCTGCATCCCTATTCCTGCCCTGGAAATAGGTTCGTCTGTACTATTTTTCTAGATTCCACATACATGCATTAATATACAATATTTGTTTTTCTCTTTCTGACTTGCTTCACTTTGTATGACAGACTCTAGGTCCATCCATATCTCTACAAATGACCCAATTTCATTCCTTTTTATAGCTGAGTAATATCCCACTGTATATATGTACCACATCTTCTTTATCCATTCATGTGTCGATTGACATTTGGGTTGCTTCCATGACCTGGCTACTGTAAACAGTGCTGCAATGAACACTGGTGGGGAGATCTTTTATTGACACACCTCCTAGAGTAATGAAAATATAAACAAAAATAAACAAATGGGACCTAACGAAACTTAAAAGCTTTTGCATAGCAAAGGAAACCATAAACAAGACGAGAAGACAACCCTCAGAATGGAAGAAAAAATTTGCAAATGAAGCGACAAAGAATTAATCTCCAAAATATACAAGCAGCTCATGCAGCTCAATATCAAAAAACAAACCCAATCCAAAAATGGGCAGAAGACCTAAAAATAGACGTTTCTCAAAAGAAGACATACAGATGGCAGAGAGGCACATGAAAGGATGCTCAACATCACTAATCATTAGAGAAATGCAAATCAAAACTACAATGAGGTATCACCTCACACTGGTCAGAACGGCCATCATCAAAATATCTAGAAACAATTAAATGCTGGAGAGGGTGTGGAGAAAAGGGAACCCTCTTGCACTGTTGGTGGGAATGTAAATTGATACAGCCACTATGGAGAACAGTATGGAGGTTCCTTAATAAACTAAAAACAGAACTACCATACGACCCAGCAATCCCACTACTGGGCATATACCCTGAGAAAACCATAATTCAAAAAGATGGACCCAAGTTCTTAATGGTCATATATTCTTGTTAGTTATCAATAAGGAATATTGTTCTTTGTCCCCTTTCATGTTTTCACCTTGAGTCTATTTTGGCTGATATATATAACATATGCATATAATTTTGCTTGCTGTGTTTTCTTATGCCTTTTGTTTTTTGGGAAATATTTCTATTGTAAAATATGTGAGATTAGAGATTATAATGAACAGCCATGAAGCCTTAACAAGTCTTAAGATTATATAATATTTCCTTCAGATCTTCATTTTTCAAAATGACCAGAAACCTGTGACAGGAGATTTGTTTTTTAAATGCCAATCTCTTTCATAAAAAAACAATATATACCTGAGAGTAGGAGAAAAGTTTTCATACCCCTTTTACATTTTGATTTCCATTCTGACAAAATCTTAAAAGAGAACGTGTCACCGGGAATTGTCTTAGTCCATTCGAGCTGCTGTAACAAAATACCACCAGGTGGCTAACAGACAATAGAATTTCTCACAGTTCTGGAAGCTGGAAAAACCAGGTGCCAGTGTTGTCAGGTTCTGGTGAAGGCCTCAGGGTTGCAGACAACCGACTTCCACGATGTCCTCACAGGGGAAAGGAGCAGGGAGCTCTGCGGGGCCTCTTGTAACAAGGGCGCTGACCCCATTCCCGAGGGCTCCAGCGTCATGACCTAACCATTCCGCAAAGGCCTCAGCTCCTACCACCATCACACTGGAGTCAGGATTTGAATATATGAATTTGGAAGACATAAAATATGCAGACAATAGTAGCAATTTTAAAAATACAAGGATATTAAGTAGGTATTTTAAGCCCAGGTTACAACTTGTGTGATATCATGAAGGTAAAATAAATTATGTGGAAAAACTAAAAAATATGCCAAAAGGAGCAGAAATGAAAAGGTGGGGAATGGGGGTGGGCTGGGGGCTGGACAGAGGAGGAGAAAAGGGTGGTAGCTTTACTTAAATATGCACTTGCTCGCATCTGTAAAGTGAATGCAAATTCCCTAAATTCTGACACTGTGATATTAAAAAGAAGTAATTGTGGTAAATAAATCACATATATTTCAGATTTCTAGCATAAAAAAAATCCCTATAAGCATTACCTTAAAATATTTTTTTATCAGAAATATAGTTTTGGTAATAAAACATTTGATAAAATTATATAATCATATAATCAGATACGCTGTACATATGTAATTTTAATGCGCTAATATGAATATTTTTATTGTATATTTTACATAAGAATATAAATTATTTTTAGATTATTTAAAAAGAAACGGTGACTAGCTCACAAGATTTAACTATCTACCCAGGTGACGCTCGTGCCCATATCCCGTACTGAGAAGCCTTCACATGTACTGCTAGAAATGCCCTGTGATCTGGTCACAGTCCCTGCAGAAGCTCTCCCGGAGGGAGAGGCGCCCCGGGAGGTGCTGGCAGAGGAGTGCAGGCTGCCTTTTTCAGCTCAGGGCGGTATGGGGAGGGTTGGGGGGGCAGATATGGGAACCTGAATTGAAAGCTTCCTTCACTGTGAAATGGTCCACTCCCCATGCCACCCCCCGACCTCCTCCAAGAAATGGTGAAAAAAAAATTTTAATTTTAAAAATTGGAAGTCTCAAGCTTCAGTAAAGTTGTCTTTTAGTACTTTCAGCCAAAAAGCTTAATTCTCTTCCTTTATTTTCCAATTTTATCACCAAATATCCTGAAGATACCGTTTTTCTTCTTTTAAAGTAGCCAATGTTTTCATTGCTTCTAGTTTTTCAACTCCAACCTCTTTGCTTATTATCTCCACAAGGACATCATTTACATCCTTGGCCATATTCTTAGCATCTCTAAAAAAAAGAATAACGGCATTACTGTTTAAGAAACAGTGATTTTTACCAAATCCTCCTTAATTCACGAACCTCACTGCCGAGACTCTGTCACTACACCTTAGTCCTTCCTCCATTTCTCTGGAAAGTGTCCCTCAGGTCTCCAGGCACCTACTGCTCCCCCAGGGACAGGCCTCCGTCCAGGACCACTGTCACATGCAATGCTGACCACCCCATTCACAGCTTTAAACACTTCAAAGGCGTCCGTGCTCTGGGAGCAGCCGAAATCTTTAAATGTCTGAGGACCTCACAGTCGGGCCCCTCCTCACCTGTCTTCCTCTATTCTCAAGGCATTCCTGAGGGCAACAAGCTCCCGGACACGTCTAAGCCTTCATATGCATGCGTGCACACGATGAGTTATTAACAGACACGTTTACTGAGAACTTGCCAAGGGCTGGCCCTCTATTAAGTGTGTTTCCACGTCCCAGCTCTTTCATTTGCAGGTCGGGCAAGGTGCCCCTCCTGTGCGCTCCTGTGGCCCCTGCACAGCACCCGGTATACCGTGAGCATCTGCTGACCTGGCTTTCCCACAGGGAGCAGGTGGCTTGGGAGAGGAGTGCATCTCATTTACCATTTGTCTCTCGACATCTGCACAGTGCCAAATACTTAGTAGGCACTCGAATGTTTATTGAATGAAAGTGTCTGACAGGACTCTAACGTCTCAGGAATTGAACTTGCCCTGTCCCTCACAGTAAAATTTCCTGAGAAAGTTTTAACGGCTGTCATGCTCTCCCCTCAAGCACTCTGAGATCACTTCTATCCCCACGGCCCTTCCCCATGTCCCGCGGCTGCAGCTGCCAAACCTACTGGCCCCTCTCTCTGCTTCCCACTTGACTATCAGCAGCAAAGGCTCCCCTTTGAGTCAGTGTCCCCTGGACTTAGGGACAAGTTCACTCCTTCCTCAGTGGCTGTTCTTCTCAGTCTCCTGTGTTTGGTCCATGTTAGAGTGCCATGGGGTGTCACTCTGAGCCCTCACCTCTGACCAGCTATGAATGCTATCAGCTTCACTTCACGGATGTGAAAAATGAAGCACCAGTGACGGTGCAAAGTTATTTCTGGGTTACTGTTTTAGGAGTTTTTTAAGATGTTTAAGAACCCCTCCAAGTTCTCAATTACCAGTTACTCATATATTTGTACTTATGTTTGCACAATGGACTTCACCTCCATTATTAGAGCTGCATCTAAGCCTTCAACCTGTATCTGACACTGACAGCACTGTCCTCTGCAAACAAAAGAAAGATCAAATGCTTCACTAAAAGTAAATGAAAACGTAAACCAACACAGCATCCAGAAGCTCTGCCCTTTCTGACCTAGAGCAGCGTTTTCTAGCTGAGGAGTCGTTAATGGGGCATGAAATCAACTTTGTAGCCAGTCAGATTTTTGTAAAATGATAGAACAAACGAAATAAAAGTTATCAGAATGTGTCATAAAAAGTAAGTAGAAAAAGGAAGTTTTGTTTTATGAACCTTTCCAATTATATTTATATGTATTCTAGGTCACTATGCCAGTATTTCTTTTTCTGTATCATAGTTTAAAAAAAACAAACAAAACCTGACCTGATGACTTATGGAATGTTTTAAATGCCAGGGATGTGTTAGGATAAAAAAAGAGTAATTTCTTATTTCAAAACTCCTTTTTAACTGGTAAACAGTTTTGAGTTCCATTAAAACAAGTAGCTAAGTTCCTAAAATTTTTATTTTCTATGGCAATCTTGGGTTTCTATAATGGATCTTATGTCAAAAAGTAGATGAAACAGGGCTTCCCTGGTGGCGCAGTGGTTGGGAGTCCGCCTGCCGATGCGGGGGACCCGGGTTCGTGCCCCGGTCCGGGAAGATCCCACATGCAGCGGAGCGGCTGGGCCCGTGAGCCATGGCCGCTGAGCCT